CCTCTGAATGCTGAATTAGGCATGGTGCTTACTCTTAAAAAAAAAACAAAACCGTTTTACACAATGAGAAGAAAAAAATAACCTAAGGATATGCAGATGAAAAACATGTCATTTTAATGTTTATCTACTTAACTTTGTGACCTCTTAGTTGGTGGATCAGAATGATTTTATCCCAGCCAGGCCAGCTGCCTATAGGATGACAAAAGAGGTGGCAGTTTAGGACCTTATAACCAGAGTGGAAGTAAACTGTAAGTTGTGCAGTCTAGGTTAAAACCTTTTAATAAAATGTCAGGAGAAAAGGCAAAATGAAAGTTTATTACGTTTTCTGAGACCAATTTTCTTTGGCTTTCAGTGACTAACTGCGATGATTATGGCTTAAGTTCGCTGCCAAAAAGAATACATGCTAATAAATTTCAGATTGAAGATTGGAAAAAGAGAAATACTAAGCCCTTGTACTCATATATATAGGTAAAGAGTTTGGGGGTGGAACTTGATGAAGTTAGAACAAAAGTAAGTCAGAATGTGATGTTAGTACATTAGGTGAGATTTTTTTTTAAAGTGCTATGTAGATGATACTTGAATAGTGTGGGATGCTCTCTCTCCCACTTATTCTCAGAGGGAGATGAAAAACCAGAATGACAAAAGAAATTATAAAGTAAATAATAAAGGGATTAAAGGAATCTGTAGTCATTTAGAAAGGTTGGCAATAGAAAGTCCTGCAGGCAAACAGAATTTAGAAATTCTTCAGTCTACATATCAACTGAAGAGCAAACAGACCTGAAATTTAAGGACATTTTCATGGAAAACATCTATTTCTAGAAGTGTTCCTTTACCAAGGACACATAAGAGTTATATTTGATAAGAGTCTAGATTCTCTGAATGTATTCCATTTATAGCTATCTTGCTAAAGGTGAGGTACCCTTGTAAATGTTGCTTTGCTTTCACAAATGCAGGTACTCTCCTGAGTCTATTGTTCACTGTTGCACAGCTCTGAAGCAGTGGCCTCCAGGGTGACCTTTGCTGAATGTCCTGTGCCTCTTGCCTCCTTGCTGGAATGTGGATGTCTGCCATCCATCTGCATGAGCATGCCTAGCAGTCCTTGCTGTTCTGAACCTGCATGGTCATGAAATGCCCTCCATGTGCCCCAGCTGCCCGCGTTAACACCTGCAGGCTCACCAGAGGATTGGCACTTGAGTCTGCCCGTAAGGGAGGACATCAAGCTAAACTGTCAGTGTATCTGCTGCTGAGAGGAAATATGTTCTTTCCCCCCACCAGAAATTTGATTTAGAACACAACTATTAAAATGCAGTGTCTATGGTTCTTTGGATCTTTGGCTTGGTGAATCTTCTCATCAGATACCATCAAATGGGCAATATAGATGTATCCAACACTGGAAAAATTTATGTAGCTTTTTTTCTTTACCAAGAGGTTTCAAAGGCATTTCTACACTCCTGTGGGCATTAGTGCAGGTTTGACATTAATTTGAGTTTTTCTTCCTATACTTTTTTTTATGTTTACAACCAACTAGGCCAAGAACTTTAGGTGATATTGAGACCAAACAGATCACCATAAATCTCCAGCAAGAAGCTTATTCTGGAGATCTTAAAGTAATGTTGAAGGGAGATATGGTCTTTTCTTATTAATACTTGACAAGTAATGATTGTACTACCTGTACTACTTCAGCTGGGCTTTGATATCCTTCTCCAACCTTAAACTCTTTCTACTAGCTGGAAAACAGAAGCCTGAGTTCATACTATTTGATTATAGAGGGAGAGGGATTGATCCATGGCCAAATGTCTCTGACTGTCTCCTTCCAACCTGAGCATTTCTGTGATTCTATTTTTTTTTCTATATTGTAGAAATTGTATTGTGGCTCAGATGTGGGATGTTCTCTAATCTTTGGGAACAGGTTAAATCACTGCATTATATAGTTTGAGTGTTCAAAAAATGAAACTGGAATTTCTTATTTTGTGTTGCTTATACAAAAGGACATGAGGTTCAACTCAGAACTGGAGGCCCATGGAAGCAAATAGAAAATCACGAACTAAGCCTTGCTTCCTTCCTAGTGAGCAATATAAAAGCATCCTTACTGATATAATTTGTATATGTCAACAAATATCTCATATAACAGACCTGAATAGACTGGTGATAAAATAAAGTAAAGCACTTTAGCAAAGAGACAAGGCGCACTGGTTTTCCCCTAGTGGCTACCAAACTGTGGTATTTCCTGCTTGCTTAAGTTATTTACTTGCTCTTGGATCTTTTTTTTTGTTTGTTTGTTTGACCCAACAAAGATGAGTTTTGTTGAAAGAAAATGCCTTCTCACATTTATCTGTGTTAACCAACACAACTCAAAGAAATGGAGCTCATTCTAGATTGAGATGCTTGATATTTTCAGAGCAGCTCTTCAGTCCTTAAGCCAAACGTTTAGAAGTAAACACAGAGTATAACAGATTGAACACTGTTAGATATATTGGAGGTTAACTGGGGCTTATTGTTTAAAAAGTTTGGATATGATTCAGGAGTTGGACTTGATAATCCTTACGGGCCCTTTCCAACTCAGGATATTCTATGATTCTGTGTCCTCATTACTAATAGCTACCAGCATCTTTATCTGATTTGGGTAGAGAGAGCTAGCTGATGTGGTCCAAAACTATCCTGGACCTAAGTAACAAGTGTGAATGACCAAGGATCTAGCACTTTTATTTAACAGTATAAGCAAAGACAAAGATGACCAGAAAGCCTCTTTCAACTTTGCTAAGGCAAGTTTGAGCCTCTTCCTATTAAACCGAATATATTGTTCCAGGATAAGGAAGAGCTGAAGGACAGGAATTTTCCTCCATTTCTAAATTAAACCTTTCTCTTCAACTTCATGGACTTGCGCTCACTTTCTTTCACACCAATCTTATCAGGGATCACCCCTTCATCTGTGTGTGCATGCACAGCAAAGCTGATTGACCAACTAAGTAACATGTTGTTTCATTGCATGTTTATCTTCCATTTGCTGAGCTCTCTGAAATCAATCTGAGCTGCTGCTGCACATGCTTCTTGATATTGCCTTTAAGTAAAAGATAACTATTTCTTTCCACATAGATACAGGTCCCCTCTTTTCTTACATAGTTGTGAGGAGTGTGAGTAAAGAAATTGCTACTGATTATTGATCATGGTCTGATAATTGAAAGGGTCTGGCTTATAGTCTGATAATATGCTTCAGTATATATATGTGCATTTTATGTATATTTGTGAGAATTAGAGATCATAAACCAGTTGTATATACATATTTTAAGGGAAGATCAGTTTGTACCAACTGGAATCACTTAATTCTGTCTTCTGAGGATTCAAAAGGTATGTTTGTTCTTGCATTAGCTGCTAAATATCAGAAGCTTGAATTTAAGTGTTGGATTTTCCTCCTTCTATGAACTCCCTAAAAACCTTAGTGGAGTCCTTATTTGTACTGTTTCTTTGCAAATTATAAATCTGAAGAAACCCGAGGATCATTACTTAATATGGGATAAAGAAGGGTGTATATTTAACACAAAAAGAAATTATGTGTTTACATTGCCTACAGTAAAGTCAACTGTGAAACTCTCTGATGTTAGGATATAGTTTTTTGTTGCCTTAAAACAGAGCACAGTGGAGGGCAGTGTTCAGCATGTAGACTTGTCACAGAGGTGGGATTTTTGAATGTGAGGCCATTCGTGTGACAGAAGTTGCTTTTGCTTGAGGAGGGAAAGGGAGAGTTTTTCACCTTTGGCTGTGCTTTGAATTTTTCAAATCTTGCTAACTTTATATATTCAGATTGTTTCTGACTAGTGCACCACTCTTTAGTTTCCATAAGGAAAAGGCCCTTTATTTTTTGTAGAAGACAATTATTTTCCTGTACAGATTAAGTGGTTCTGTGTCTAAGCTACTCTTATTTCAACAATTCCTACAGCATCATTCTAAGCCTCCTCCATGTTCTTGCCTATTTTAACTTACAGTGGCTAATTTGCAGAACAAGTGTGTCTTCTCTAGTTTGCATCCATGGGAATTAACACATAATGAAAGTAATCTAGATCTACAGAAACCAAGTAGAGCAAGCAGCAAACGAAGGGCTGAATGAAGAACAACTCTCCACTCTCATGCACATAGTCCTCTTGGGTTTTCCTTCTAAAGAGAATTGAGTTGTTTTTTTTTTTCACAGAATCTGTAAGTTCTCCTTTTTACCTTTTTGCATTTTTCTTTCACTCTGTTAGGAGAAGGCAATGGAGGAAATCAGAACAAACCAGTGGTTGCCCAAGCAGAAGTCTCATTTTGTCAGACATGATGAAGGGAAGAGAATTTGCATTTGTCTGGACAGAATTGTAGATTTGGGAATCATAGAGTTGGGAAGGACATGGAAGGATCTTTGAGTCCAACTCCTGGCTCCATACAAGACTACCCAAAATTCAAACCCAGTATCTAAGAGCACTGTCTAAACACCCCTTGAACTCCTTCAGGCTGGGGCTGTGAGCACTGCCCTGGGGAGCCTGCTCCATGCCCACTGCCTTCTGGTGAAGGATCTTTTACTGATATACAATCTGAGCAGAGACAGGAGGATGTTGAAGCTCTTCTGTGGCCTTGTTGTTTATATCAGCCCATTCATTGATCAGCAAGAGCTGATGTTGCCTTAGGGGTATTTGTGTTGATGATCTCCCACGAAGGACATCAAAGCAAATTTTTAAAATGAAGGGCTTGCCCGAGTTAGCAGGAATTTTTAATCCTTTTGAAAAATCCTTCCCCCAAAAAAGAATATAAAAGAATGTAATTTCAAATTACTAACATTGCAGTATGCAGACAGTGAGCAGGCCACCTGGTAGTCCTTTCCACTGATACTCAGGACTGATTTTTTCTCCCTGAGAGGGATGTGCAAAAACAGTACCCCAAGTTCCTGATATAGTCTTTTTTTTTTTTTTTCAAATCCAGTACAGAAAATTCTGGCTAGTGCAAAAAGATGTGGCATCTGTTGCTATTAACAGTAATTTTCAAAGGGTAGCACTAAGAATACTAATTCCTTGAAGATTAGATTTAATGGTGAGCTTATGAAATTTGTGAAAGAGAACTGGTGGAATGGCTGCCCTGGAGTGTACCAACTCACATTATGGGCCAGTAGGTAACATCCTGCCTAATTAACTCTTCAACTGACTTCAAAACAAGGGTCCATCACTGAAACAAAACATGAAGATTCTTGCTTGATGTTCAATGCTGTTTGACTTAGGAGGGCAGCTGCAGCAGGGCTCTGCAGTACTGAACTCATTGTTCTTTTTGTCCTCTGCCTTTTGATCTGAGGTTGCACAGAAGCAGTCAGGCAGCCGAGGTGGTGAACCAGTATTTTCTGGAGGAACCAGTTATATGCAATCCGTTTAAATTAGTGGTGAGCGGTGCTGCATTAACAATTGTCTTAGTGATAATAAGGAGGAGTGCCCAGACTGTAGTACTTCATGTGCTCAAATTGAATCTGTGGTTCAAGAGGAGCCAGATCTTTTGTCACTCCCAATGCTTTCTTACAGAAAGAGCTGCACTGAAGCTTTCTTGCTCAGATATTTTTACAACCTCTTTTTACATCAGTATGTGTTTGCTTTCTTCTTTTTTTTTCTTTTGTTCATAACTAGGCAAACTGCTAGCACACTCTTTTCAAGGTCAGGAATTAGCCATTGCTTCTACATTTCCTGTCACAGCCTTGTGAAAAGACAACATTTTAGCTTTAGTATTCCATTGCAGATGACTAGGTAGACTGCTGTTGCCCTTGGATGCACAGTAACCTAGTTAGAGATTAGGCAGTGCTTTAATTTGTTATCCAATTGTAGAGTACTTTAACCTGTATTTCCTCTCCTTTGCCCACAGAAGACACAGGAAATTAATTTTATCAGTGTTGTGGTTTCTACCACAGTCCATCTGCTTATTCTCTTCCTTCCTGCTTCAGATCTCACTTTTCATCTTCATTTCAGACAAATTTGTTAGAAACAGGCTGAAAATCCTGCTTTAGAACAACCAGCTGGTACATTTTTCCACCCGGGAGTGGGTTCTGGAGCAAGGCTTCCTCACTGCTCTCCCCATTCCTGCAGGTGCCCTACAAAGTCAGTTCACATCCTTTGCTGTGGTACAGGGCCTCTGGAGCACTGCATGTTTCTATGCATTTAAAATCCTGCAGATTTTAAAAAGCCTGAGAGCGAGGACATCACTGCTGTTCTCTGTGACAGATCTCCTGGTCTTCCTTCTTCTCATCCCTCCAGCAATGGGAGAAAGAACATGGAGCCTTCTTTTGACACCAGAGTGACTATTTCTGCTTGGCCACGCTGCCAGGCAGATTTAAATGTGGCAAAGCTGTTCTGTAATGTAGGAGTGAAGAGATTTTGAACTTTGAGTTGATTTTCCTGTGGGGCAAATAGTGCCCTTCTGAAAGCAAGCTCTGCTCAGAACAAGTTGGGGTGGTTCTGAATAACAGATGGAAAGGGAGAAGGCTTCTAAAATTGCTCTGAAGAGCACAAGCCTGGCTAGTTGTGTTAGCCTGTGTATAGTAGGATTTGCATGTGTGGAGTCAAGGGAGGAAAGAACAAAGGCCATTAAATCCATTTATACCCAGATGTCCTCCTGCACATGAGCTTTGGTTTTGATCCTGAGGTCTCAAAATATTTCACTATTACTTCTAAAAGATTTCCTGTTCCACAGAAGGGGAAAAAACGAAATTTTAATTCGAGTTTAGAGAGCCTTCCTGCTCTTCCATCTACTATCCTCACTGCATTCTCCTCTCCCTTCCCGCTCCTCCAGGCTCATGGGTACCACATGCTTGTTAATACTTATCAAATTACCTTCATTTTGATTCTTCTTCTACATGCTGCAGCCATTTCAGTTGTGTCCTCTCAACTTCATCTCTGGGCATACTGTAATGAAGATTTAAAAAGATGTCTAAATTAGAGTCAAAGAATCGTATTTGTGATGGATATACAAGGACATGAAAGACCACTCAAAGGCCAACTTTAGTATTGGTGCCCCGATGTCTCGAAGTTTGGTGGGCACAAAGAAGCACGACGGATTTTTCAGTGGGTGATAATTCTACCACATTTTGTTTCTTTGTGGATAAATTTTAGTTTAAAGTCTTGTGAGAGGTAAACAGGTTAACACACATTGTACAAATGCCCATTCTACTGTTAACAGATCGCAGAATTTTCTTGAAGGTGGAGTGGAAACGTCAGTGGAAGGACTGGGATAGTGGTTTAGATTTAATGTCTGAGAAATCAAGTGATTCACAAAAAAAGCCTTTTCATTTGGAGCATTTGAGGACCAGACCAAAGTCCTTTTCACTAAGTGTGATCAGTACTGTTGTCTTCAATGAATTTTTAAGAGAAATTTGTCTTATGCTGATATAATTTGTGGATGGAAGGTGCAGTTGGCCTGTTTCTGGTTTAGAGGTAATAACATTCAGTTTCTTAACCAGTCTTTCCCAGAGGTATAATTTTACCATTGCATTTCAGCACTGTAATAAGTTCAATGAGGAGTTCAGTCTTTCCAAAGCTATATCCCTTTGGCTCACAGGCCTGTTGGTGTCTCAGTCTCTCCAGGTGAAGCTGCTACCATCTGATTGTGTTACAAGGATTAGTAGCAAAAAAAATGTACAAATTTACTATGATTAAGATGAGTTATTCCTGAAAACAGCATAAATGTTGTGTTTATCCTTTAAACACCAGGAACTTACTCTTTTCGAGTATCTTTCCTCCTATCTTTTGGTTTTTTTTGCTTTCTCTTTGCTTGTGGAATCTGGATTTAAAGCACCGCACACTGTTTTCTCTCCCTCTCTGAAGGTTTGAACTCTTTCTGTCTTATATTATTCCTCATGAGGCTTAAATAAGGTCTGATTTTACTGCATTAACTGGCTCACAAAATAGCGTGTTCGCAATGAGCTTCACACTGTATGTTCTGTGCTACTGAATCAAATCTCAGGCTGTAGCTTTGAAGAGGTGTCTGTGCAAAGATTGCAATTCGTTCCTTGTGCCTGAACTGGTGCTTTTCGTTCAAATCCTGAGCACAAAAGAAAAATACTGCCTACACTAAAGGCTGAGCTGATGCAAGAACCACTGAGGTTGCTGAGCCAAAGTTGTCACTTTGGTAAACAGATGAAACCATACTGACTTATATCTTTATAAACTGGCACTCATCATGGTACATAGCTTTCCTAAAAGACCTGATCTAGGAGTAGTCTGGAGACCTAATGCGATAAACCATGAGATAAAGAAATGAAATAGATTCGCTTACGGGACCTTATTAATTGAGGTGGTAAACATACAGCAAAACAGCGAAGAAATAAAATGAAAGATATTTAGGGTATTTTTATAGCTCAGAGTAAGAATAATGTTTGTATTTAGTAAGAAGCATGAAATCAAATAAAAAATGAATGCCGTTTATATTTTTTTTATTTAATTCTATTTTAGCTAAGGTGATTTTACTTATATAAATATGAAAACATACTACTGGTATCTTAAGAATGTGCTTTATAACTTAGTGACTACTCTTCGTTTATTCTGTTTAGCCTTGATCCTAGAGAAATTTCTGTGTGAATCTTTGTCTAGGAAAATATTCCAGAGATATAAGAAAGATAATGCTTCATTTGTCTTACCAGTGACTTGCCCTCCCTTAGAGCTAAATAGGTCACAGAAGCTATAGGAGTAGAGGCACTGAAGACTTGCTCGTGTACATCTTCTCTTTTAGAACTGAGATCGGAAACCTATATTGCCTGAAATACCTTTTCAGGGACAAAGAAAAAAAAGAAGTAGGAATAACGTCATCGTATGGTTAAAATAGAGTTTTGGACAGTCTCTGTTCTTCATCTGAAGATCACATAATGATTACTGCTGTCTGTCCAGATTCAGCACTGCAGTGGGCAGCAGCAAAGGAAAGGATTTTATTACTGGCTGCCTCTGCTTTGTCTGCATAGTATTGCCATTATTATGACAAAAAAGCGCTAAAATGATGAGCTGATTCTTCCAGATGCATCTCAAAAAGAAAAAAAAAAAGAAAAAAAAAAAAGTAAAAAGAATTAAAAAATTCTCTGTACACACTCATTTAAACAGTGCTATTCACATGGCCTGTCACTGCCATACCAAAGATGAGACAATGCCTAGTTTCTTTCCTCCCTTGTTTTCTAGCAGAGTGGCAGGTTTATTTCTTCTATTCTGAGCATACAAAGATGTCCAGGAGGTTACTGCTTGACAAGGTGGGAAAAGTCACAGCTCTGTGACAGCTGAAAATCTAGAGCTAACCCGGTGGGCTGTAGGATGTGCAATAATCACCCATTTCTCGTCTCAACAAATCTGATTCTGACATCACTAGCTGGTTCCAGCAGTGCTAATGCTTCCAGTTCTGGGCTTCCAGTTCTGGGCTCCCCATTCCAAGAAAGATTGGGAACTTCTGGAGAGTGTTCATTGGAGTGCCACAAAGATGATTGGAGACCTGGAGCATCTCCCTTATGAGGAAAGGCTGAGACACCTGGGAATGTTCAGTGTGGAGAAGAGAAGCCTGACAAGGAATCTTATAAATGCTTGTAGACATCTAAATGGAGGGAGTCAAGTTATTGTCTAGTCGTAGAACAAGGGGCACAGGAAGTTTCATAAGCACACAAGGAAAAACTTCTTTAATACAAGGGTGACATTGGAACAAATTGCCCAGAGAGCTTGTGAAGTCTGCTTCTCTGAAGATATTCAAAACCTGTTTGGATACTCTTCTCTGCACCTACTCTAGGGAACTGCTTTAGCACTGTGTAGGACTTGATGATCTCCAGTGGTCCCTTCCAACCACTATGGTAGTGTGATTCTGTGGTTGAACAGGCTCCCAACTTCCTGCTTCCCAGAGATGTGTGGGACACAACCACAAAGTCAGCACAGCTAGCAATTCAAATTGACAAAGTTTGCCTCAGCTGCTCATAGTATCTTTTCAAACCACTTTTGTTTGGCAGAACTTGAGCTTCTCATTCCTTTAACATTTGTCCCTTTGCAGTAAGGGGTAGTTCTGCTTAAGCTGTAATTAAAATCTCTGTTTTTCCACATTTTCTCTGATCAGTCAGTGTATGCTACTGTCATATATTGTGGAAATTAAGAATAACAAGTTACAGGATGTTACTTCAAATATTTGACAAATGCTGACTTCTAATGGCTACTGTTTGTGGGTGTGAGCAGGTAGCTGAATGACGAGGGCTTAGAGAATCCTTCATCTCAGAATTAGAGTTGTGACTCACATATGGTTGCTAACACTCAGTATTTACAAGAGGAAAAGCAATATTACCTGTTCCACTGCTTTCTGAGCATCTGTTCAGGGCAGGATGTGGTTGGTATCTGGATGACTCTAACGCTACCCATGAAATGCAGACATCAAGACCGGAGTGTATTTCTAGTTGTTTGTGCTTGAGTGAGAGTGACTTTGACAGTCAACAAACTGGGGAAAAAGAGAACCACCTCCTGTTTGCTGCAGAAATGAGATCATTTGATTTTCTGATATTTCTGGTGTTTGCTTTTTAAAATCAGATCCTTAACCACGGCTGTGGCACAAAGTTTGTGCACAGGCATATGATGTAAATAAATATCCTTGCATCAGACTGAGTTTCTAGTTTTCTGGTTCAATTTAGAAATGATGCTTAATACTGACCCCAAGGGGCTCAGATGACAGAGAGGAAGCAAAGAAAAGAAGCTATGCCCCAGTTCCTCTGGCCTTAACCTTCCCTCTGTGAAGTGAAAGAAAATCAGCCAGGAGCCACAAGCATTTCTCCGTATGATGTGGAGGCAATGTTGACAATTCTATGTTTAAGCAATTGGATCTACAGCAAGATGCCAGCAGCCTCAGGAGAGGAATTAGCCAAAATTTCACCATAGAGCAACGTCTCAGCTGATGAAAACTGAACGAGTTGCTTTCACATCAGTGATGCTGTGGAGATTTGTTGCTGTCACAACAGCACTCTCTTCCCAGGACTGCTGTATAATGCAATATCTGAAACAAGGGCATTACTTTTTATTCAGTATGAATAGAATTAATTAAAACTGCTCTAGCATATTTTATATCTGTAGTGGTTTTAAGGAGAAGGGTAAATCTTGTTGGCTGTTTTTATTGATTCTGATAAGCATTTTTATTTTTATTTTTTGATTTTCTTCTCAGGGAAAGTAGTGCAAATAATAATTAGTTTTACAATTCTAAAACTCTACTGGTAGTAGTTATACCCTTCCCTCCCCCCCCAATATCAGGTCCATGTAACTCCATTCATTCCATGGAGTTCTGAAGGAACAGGGCATATCAAAGAGCTCTTATTTTTCAGTGTTCCTTACAGTAGACAGAAATTCCAGTTTGCAACATATAGACCTTCTCAGATTCACTGTAGAAGAGAGAGACAATAAAAATGAATTGTGTTAAAGTGATTGCATCCACCTACGATCATGTATTATTCTGCAAATGTTAATTATAATTTCAAAATTTCTATGGGCTATGGCAGACTTACTAACCTCTATCTAGAGATAGCAAAATGAGGAATACAAAAGTCTAATGACTTAATATTTTTCTATAATACTCTTCCTAAGAACAAAACCTTATTTTTCATTAATCATAAAACTGTTACTTGCTCACTAGCCCTCATGAGCTGGCATCCAGATATCTCAAAGAAAGTAAATTGCTGCTGTGGATGTGAGGCAGCTAAACATGCTGCATGTAGTTGTAATGCTTGTTTTCAACTTGTTTTCATTGCTGCTTGACAATATTTGTCAATACATTATTAAAAACAAAAAACTGATTTAAAATACAGTAAAAGGAGCTGCCAAATCCAGCCATTCATGTTAAGTTTAACTGACTTTAGACAGCTATATTTCTTTAACTATAGCAGTAAGATTAAATCTTCTAGTTTGTAGGCAGTTAGTTGTAAGAGGAAAGAATAAGGTTCCCTGGTATAAAGCAACCTCCTCCTGGTGTAACTCTTAAATTTGTACTTAACTGATCTCCATTATATGCATTAATTATGATAGATTTGGGCTTTAATTACATGATTGCCTGTTGCTATTTGTTTTTCATCTTCACTGCCTGAGCACTGCAGGAGCACAGGAGGGGGCACCTCCCAGGCAGCAAAGCAACTGGAGACAGCCATCCCTGCCCACTGATGAAAACCTTGGGCTGAAGTGTTCTCAGCACAACCAGCATTTCAGAGACTGAAGCTGCTAAATTTCATACGTCTGTTATAAATACACACTCTGAGGTTTTCTGTGGTGCTTTTTCAGCCGTCTGTTCTGTTTCATTGATGCAGTAGACCTATTCAGAGCAATGACGGAGATATTTTTTTATGTATGGGTAAGACATATTTCCAGACAGCTCAAGCTGACACTAATAAGTCTCAGGAGGGCTTATTAGTTCAGGTGTGATTAGAAACTGAGCTGTATGTGCACACTTGTACCATACTCAGACCACCTGCTGTGCTGAGAAGTGTGATGTGGGGATGGCCAAGTGGCTCCATGCAAAGCAATCTAGATCCATCTGAAACAGGTACTCATCTGCGGCTTAAAAACCCTGATAAATACGAACTGATGTCAGCTTGAAAAAAAACCAAACATGACACTGGTGCATCTTGCTGTTGATGTGAGCCTGACTGGGGAGAAGAGGTATCTCTTCCATGCAGAGAAGTATGCCATGAAAGTGCCAGTTCTTCTGAGATTTCAACGGCTGAACACCTTTCAAAGTTGAGGACTATCACCTAGTTAACTGCATAGACTTCCTCCAAGGAGAAAGTCTAGGTGTTCAAGGAACCGTTGGATTTTGTGTTGAGGGACATGATTTAGTGAGTACTATTGGTGATAGGTGGATGGTTGGACTGGATGATCTTGAAGGTCCTTTTCAACCTTGGTGATTGATTCTGTGATTCTGTGATTCTGTGACTTTGATAGAGAAATGGTTGTAGTTGTTATTCAAGTTGACAGCTATATGAACTGATGAAAGTATGCAGGATTTATAGCTTTATTTGCTACTAGATTGTAATTAGCGCGTTTCCTTCTTTTTCCCTTATGTGTCAACATGACTTAGGCACTAAGCATATCATTTGTGGTGTACCTGTATGCTCTATTTTTATGAAGTTGCAAGAACACATTATTTAAAGTTATAAGAGATAATGAAAAAATGAAAAACAGTGTTTCATCACCAAAATGGAATGATTCAATACATTGGACTTTCTAAGCACCTAATAGGAAGTGTTTATGGAAGGCTTATGTTGTTCAAGTGTATGTAGGCACCTACGTACCAAAGTATTGAAGCAAAACCAGTGTAGACACTACACATTTTTCCTTTATGTATTTTCTGTAGCAGCCTGAGTTTTGCAGTGTTGTTTTTCTAAGCAAGTATTATACAACTTGCTAGACCTAGAATATTGTATGGAAGTCTTGAAAGGAGGCTTAAAAAATTGTTAAATGTTGTTTTGAGAAAGTAGCTTCAGTACTCACATAGTTACATGGCAAAAAATGCAGCATTAAAAATGCTGCTTGAAATATTTTAAAGATAATTTAAGTCAAGTGGGACTATAGTTTAAAAAAATATTCTTAGTTTATCAGTAGCAGTTTGCACAATGCATATTTATGGAATAAAAGATGTATACCTTTGGAGCCACAAGGGAAAATAAAGGAAGATTTTATTTTGGGCTCATGCACACAGACATACATATTTAGTTTCGTGCTTATTGCAGATGTTCAGGTTTTATTTGAGTGACATGTAATATCAATGGTCATGCCAATTTATGTATTTGATTGTTTTTTGCATGTAACTGTTATCTTGACAGTAGGTGAAGAGTCTACTTATATATATGTGTGTATATATATATATATATATATATATATACTTACAGGGCCATGGGAGTTAGGAAGTTGCTGAGGAAGATGGGGTGGGGGTGCTGGGGAAGGTAAGATGGAGGTAGGAGGCTCTGTCCTGCTGGAAGCTTCTGGTTGTTGTGAAGACCTAGTGAGTGGGAAGACAACTCCAGTAGGCTTCCTGCTGTTTTCATGGGAAGGAAGATTTGAGGCAGTTCTGAGATGGGAGGAAGGTTTGAAGGGGATTTTTGCATGCCGTAACCTGAAGAAAAAAGAGGCAGGATTTAAGACTGGGCCCTTTTTCTTGGGAAGAAGGTGGCTGTTCTTAGTTTGACTGTATGAGATGGGATGTGTTGAAATAGTCTCATATGTCACGATGAGCAACTTCTGCTGGGTGCAGGAGGGCAGGCTGCAAGCTGAGATTATATGACGAAGCTGCCAGAAAAATGGATGCTTGGCA